CTGAATGTGAAGTCATTTATGAAGTCCTTTACAACATGCAGTCAAAGAGGTTAATTGAAAAATTTCTTAATGTCATTATGAAAGAACTAGATTAACCCAAGTTAATTCACTTTATTGTTCAAAATAAAGAGGAATAAGCATTGAACTCACTTGCAAATTTGGGGCATGAATTAGGGGTGAGATGTTGTCTTTAAGGACTCTGCCAGTTTAATTAAGATATGGAAAATTACTTATTGTTCTTCACCACTAAAGTGCTAGGAATTAACAGCCAAATGTGATGCCTGTGCCTTTCATATCTCTACCATGTGTTTGTTTGTTTAATACCCATAAGACTACATCATTAAACCTCAAGCACTGATTTCACTAATTCAGCACTAGAGCTACATGCTACAGCAGCAAACACCTTTTCTAGTCAATCATAATTGAACAGCTGGATGTAAAATGCAATATTATTTTTAGGCTCGTATCTAACTTTGACTTCAAACCACAAACAGTATTTTCCTCCAAAACAAAATACCTTCCTATCTTTGTAATGCATCCACTAAATATAGCAAGAGCACCAGGATAGCGTGTGATCTATTTTCCCCACTTTATCGGTTCCTCATAGCTATAGATGCCGCCGAGAACTGCCAACATCATTGCATTTCTCGTCTCTTCTTGGAACGGTGGCTGCATTTAGTGAAGCATAACGCGGGTTGTTTGTTTTTCTTTAGGAAGTATTACTTAAGAGAGCAGCAGACCTTGTTGAAGCCCTATACGGGATGCCCCATAACAACCAGGTGGGTCACGAGCGCCGTCTTTGTCTACACGCCTACACGTGTAAATCAATACCTGCTATTTGCAAAGCTGGCAGAGCATCAGCACATGCTTTCTGTACACAGCCGGGCTTTGCCAGCCACCTTGAGGGCAGTCTGATGTGATGCAATGCTCTGAGGGAAATGCTTCATCCTCCCGTGCTCTTCCCACCGCTAGTTTGCCTATCAGAAATGACAATTAAGTGTAAGGTGCCAAACGCATAAGCAATCATTAAGGCAAGAGAATAACCTTGAACTTGGGCCAAAATATACGGTGACTAATGGGAAGTCCTAAAGAAATCTGCTAAACAGAGCGCATAAAGCACACTGTAGTTTGCAAATTGCTGAAAATACATCTACTGCCCTGGACAGATGAAGTGTATGTTGCGATTTTCACATGATTTACAGCACTAAACTGTGATTTTACGTTAATTTCTTTATTTCTTTGTGCTTACTGTCCTGACGTGAAATTGCATAGTGCTCCGGTAGGTAGGAAGGAAAGCAGGAGGTGCAGCCGAAACAAGCAGCAAAATCCCCACCCTTACCGTAATTCCACACGAATCCCTCCTGTAAATTCTCACGTTCCTGCAACTGGGGATATTTGCGCAAATCAGTTTCTTCGTTGTCAGTGCCTGGTTTATGTCTTCACAGGAAATAATCCTGAAGCGAGCAGCTGACATTGCTGAAGCGCTATACAGTGTGCCACGCAACCACAACCAGATCCCCACTCTAGCCAACACTCCTGCTCACACTGGCATGATGGGAGTGAACTCCTTCAGCAGCCAGCTCGCCGTCAATGTTTCCGAAACATCACAAGCGAACGACCAAGGTATGTGGGATTTCAAGAGTTAATCCTTTACGTTGTTGACTGCTTTCAGCCAGTGCCTATTAATACGAGCTGATGTCACCGCTGTGTTCTACCTCTTTCTCTTCCCCGCAGTCGTATGTCTGATCGTGTAATGAAATGCCGTCTTTAACTTTCTCGTAATATTTAATTCTTCCTGTTCTTTCGTTTACTGTTATCATAAAGTATCTCCAGTGGAAAAAAAAAAAAAAAAAACAAACAAATTAAATTGGCAAAGTGTAGAAAGCTCTTTATTATTCACAGTAAATATACAACGTGTATGTTTTCTATAAAGTAATTATGTCTAGGTATCTCCACCTGGTTTTAGAATATTTACACAGATAAATCTAATTTGATGTCTGTGATTTTAAAATACTTTGCTTATAGGCAAGTGTGACATATATGTTACTAATAAAAGTAATAGTTGATTTAATTTACCTGTTGTAATTGAAAATGCATGTAGCATATTGCATTTAAAATTAATTTTGATACTAATGAAAATAGGGAAACAGGATTATTAGATATGTTCAAACCCATATTTTTTGCTTGCAACATAATTATTAAATTGATTGCTCAGATAGGAACAAATTGTTGTTTAAAATCCTGAATCTACTATGTTTCCTCTTTTAAAAAGATTGTCTTTTAATGCATTTCCAAGCTAATAAGCCTTACAAAATTCTGTACTTGATCTTGAATTAGTTTTCACCGATGGCTACACCTTACAAAAGTACAAGCTTGTTGTTAGTGTAAAAATATCAGTCATAAAATGAAGACCCCAAAACAGCCTTTTAAAGTAAATCACTGCAACAAAAAAGTTTTTCTTGTCAGCTATGGCATTTGAAGGTCTGGAGAGGCTGAAAGTTCATTCAGTGTGTTGGTACAAAGCGGGACTCGAGCCTGTTGATAATTGCTCCTAAAGACAAACGTGAAGGCACCTGACACAGCTGGATCGAAGAGAGCTTTTGTTGGCTGTCTGTGCTAAGAGGAGAGACAACATAGAGTGCTCGCAGATGATTTAAGTAGGGTTGGCGTGATAAGGTTATCTCAAACTGCAAGAGTTGATAGGGCAGTAAGAGACAACTTAGAGGAAAGCTGTGCAATCAATTAAAACTGTGTAATATATGCTGCATGAGGAAACCCCCCAGCCCTAAGTCTATATTATAAAATAACATTATTTTTTTGGGGTGGGGGGGTTTCTAACACAGTAGGTTACAGTCGCAACACAAGCAGTGTTTCCCCGCGAGGATATGTTCCCAGCAGTACTCCTCAGCAGTCCAATTACAACACAGTCAGCAATAGCATGAATGGATATGGCAATGCCGGCATGCCCAATCTAGGTGTACCAGGTTCCCCTGGATTTCTTAATGGCTCCTCAGCTAACTCTCCTTATGGCAGTAAGTGTCTATTTTTGGTAACACATCATCATATAGATTCATATTTACTACAAAATCAAATACTTGCATTGTTTTGATTTCCTATATTGTGAGCTACTGGATAAAAGGAGGGGTGACTCTGGAGGCTGGACGTAAAAATGAATATAATAAATTGATCTGTTTGTGCCATAATACAATCTCAGATAGAAAAAAAAAAAAAAAAAAAAAAAATTGGACTGCGCAATTTGTAACAAAAGTCCAACACAAAAGAGTTTGCCTGTTATCCAGAGAGTGGCCAAGCCAAGGCATTTCATTTTTTTTTTTTATATATATTTTTTTATATATATATATATTTTAAGAGGCAAGGCCCTATCACTCTCTTTTTCCGTGTTTGCCGTGAAAACCTCAATCTGAGTCCTGATTATTTTTGCTTTATTGCAGTAGTGCCGTCAAGCCCTACCATGGCAGCCTCTTCGGTCACCCTCCCTTCAAACTGTAGCAGTACACACGGCATTTTCTCATTCTCACCTGCCAATGTCATCTCTGCAGTGAAACAAAAGAGCGCCTTTGCTCCTGTTGTCAGGCCCCAAGCCTCTCCTCCACCATCTTGCACCAGTGCAAATGGAAATGGACTTCAAGGTGAGCTGGATCTCTCTCAATTTTCTGTGTATTGCTTTTTTGGTGCATACACTCAAGCCCTGATGGTTTATTTTGGAGAAAGGTACTTCGCTATGTTTTTAGGTTCTGGGTGCTCTCATAGCGATGCAAAAGCAGAAGAAATAGGGTAGCACGAATGGTATGCTAAGATTTTAAGCAAATCTTAGTTCATTTTTAATACTTACATTAGAGAAAATTTGAGAGTTGTTTTCCTGGCATTTTCCCTTAGGAGTCTGTGCCTTAAATTTTAAAGTAAGACTGTATCCCTGAATGCTTCTTGGAGCTTTCATGTACTCCTTGCTGCATTTATACGTTTTTCTGAACGCATTTCTATGGATGTTTAAAACCAGCAGCTTTCCAGCATAACATGGTGCGATTTCCTCAGTTTACATAGGATGCAATAGTTATTTTAAAATATGTCAAACTAGTGTAAATCAGCTCTTACTCGGTGAACTAACCTTCCCCTGGACTAGTTAGCTGCTTGCGCAGTGAGTTTGCATGCTCTGTTGGTCCCAACTTGCTCCCTTACTGTGGTGTTAGAGTGGTTACTTCCCTAAATGAACAACTAAATATTTGAATTAAGGCAGGCAATTTTAAGCTTCTGCATTTTTTGAATCTGTATGACTTCGTGTGGGTAGTGTAATGAACAATTTATAAATAAGTTGCAGAATTTCCATGGTCACCTGCTGAGAGCGGGGCAGGAGGAATTATGATAGTATATGTTTGGTGGAAGAATAAAAATATGAACAAAGAAGTCTTCCTTTTTATGGCATATTTTAACATGTAGAAGATAATATCGTCAGGTGCATTAGAATCATTGAAAAGGCTTGTTTGCCTCTGTTTTACAAATCAGGAGCCTCGTGGCACAGTGTGGTAAATTGAAGCACTTCAAATCCCATGGAAACAGAAAGGGTTGCAGACACTCTTACCCTGGAGGTCGTCACTCCTCTTGACTTCCTTAGTTAAAATCTAGGTAGCGCAGTATTATTTATTCCTTGTATTGCCATGATATCCATAATGTGATGAGCACCCGCAGACAAACAGATGAAGACAGGTATTTTGATCTGCCAAACTAATTCTGGACACCTGCCCTTTGTGGTACCTGGTTTAAGGCACTTTGGAGAGACCTAATCCCACAGAACTGCCTGCTCACCAAAAATCCAGGCCATTCCAGACCAGGATCTCACATGGATGTCCCTGTAGCTTGTTATTAACATCTTGGCCCAAAGAAGCATCTGAGAGTTTATTATGCGCTCAGGTCAATGAAGGGCTGAGGATCCAGCTACACAAATCTTATTGTAGGATGGATGCTAAGGAAAAGGATAATTAGATTGACAATTTCTGTCATTGCATGTGTCTAGTGGAAGCTTTACTATGCTACTGTAAGTAGAAAACTATACCAGGTATAAGCAATATTCTTAGGAAAGATTATCCATTAATAAAAAAATCCAGTGTCCTACTTCCCTTTTTATAAAAAGACACTAGTATAAAAAGTCAACACTGGAACAAAACGAAATAAAAATAAAATAATAAAAAAAAAAAAAGAGAAAAATCATGTGGTAACACATGACTCAGATCTGAAGCAGCTATTCTGCAACGATTCTATAACAGGTATTTATATATATATATATCTATATTCTCATTAAATTGATATTGATTTACTCTGAAAAATAAAATTATTTAGAGATCTAAATTAAAATGGTCTAAATTTCTGTAATTTAAGTATGTAAATAAAGGACTTCCTATCAGATATTCAAGGTTTCAGGTGCTTAAAAGGTCTAGATTACTGCAAAGTTGGGTGCCAAGACCTTACCATGCTGGCTCTGCCCTACCAACCACTCACAACTTCCAAAACATGGAGGTACCCAGGTGTAAGAATGTGCAGAAACTTTGTGTTTTGGCTCAACAGCCAAACTGAAAATAAATAGAAATGTTGGGGAAAAAAAAAAGTATAAAATTGTCAGGTTTTCCTCACCCAGCTGAAGCAGCTAAACTGAATAGTCTTGCAGTGAGCAAAATGACCCAGAGAAATCGCAAGAACTTCTTTCTGACACACTGAGTTCCCAGGTTGTGACAAAAAGTTGAATTATTTATGCAAAGTAGCACAGCACCGCGATGTGATGCTCCGTATCATGAGAGTTAGGGTACTCTAGCAAGTGTATGTGCTAGAGTATGTGGGTTCAGGTCCCCTTGGGCTGAGGAGAAAATCAAATTGCATCTGACATCTCCTTGGTGAGTTTCTTTATCATCACAGCAGAGACGCCATGATTTTTTTTTTCCAACCAAAGCTATTGAGTTAATTCAGGCTGAACTCATGAAAAGCTTCGAGTTGACAACACTTCACCCAGCTGCCCTTACCCATCTCAACCAGTGCCTTGAGTGGAATTGCAGCCAGAACTGAGTGGCAAGACAGGGATGGATTTGTCATATGGTTCCTTCATGAGACATCATAAAGAAAAGCCAACAATGCAGGAGATACTTATTCACGCTGCATTTTACCTGTACAGTTATTTAGAGGGTTGCCACTTCCTTCTTCCTGTTTTCTTACTCATTTGTTGACATTGAGCCCTTTTTAATTAGTTGCTTTCTGAACACCGTACCAGCAGCGTGAGAGTTTTCTGTTCAGCGCATTTTCTGCGTTAAATTAAAATGCAGAATTCAAGAGCTGCAGTCCAATGCAGCAAAAGTTTTCAGTGATCTTCACGTATATTGGCATATGTTTAGTCAAGCCCAGATAGAAGTAAGAGCTCGTGGTCCCTATTGTTGTATCTAAGGCAAATCCTGCAGTTTATGAATCTGGATAAAAAGGGATGATGTGCCCTTTTAATCACGGGGTGGGATATGCTCTCTCTCGTTGCTTGTTATGTTACCTTTCCCCACATAAGCTCTGTTCTGAAATAAAAGCCAGCTGGACAGTTTTCAGGGAAGCTGGTTGACCCCGCTTCGGCAAGACATTGCTCACCTACACGATGGGGCCAGGCAGCCCAGTTTTTCCTCGGAGGGTTTGTTAGCACTGTGCAGAGGCAGAATCAGATGAAAGCCTGGCAAAACCAGACATGTAACAGCCCTGCAGACATGGTTAGTCCTTTTTACAGGGTTTTGGGGGTTAATTGCAGTGCTCTTTGCTGGGTAAACCACTGTAGGATTTGTCAGCGTGTGGAAAAAATGCTGTTCTTGGTACATCTAAGATGGTGAGAAAGCAGGAGCAGAACTATAAAGCCCTGCCTGGCTCTCAGATGGACTGTTTTGTCTCCTAACGTAGTATAAAGCAGAGGTAGAGCTGCTCTTAGTTCTGGCTTATGGTAACATCACCCTAAGCTTCAGGACCAGCTGAGCCCACCACACAAGAATCAAGATCTTGCTGCTAGTAAACATGCCCCCAAACATCCACGCTGCATTTTAGGACTTACTGCCCAAAAGTAGAAGGTGGAGAGGTCTATAGCCAACAAGGGGATTCACATTTTTTTTTTTTTTTTTTTTTTTTTTTTCCTAAAGAGAGCCAAGACAGAGGTTAAGACGACAAGGAAAAGAATAAAAAAGAATAAAAAAGAAGGCAATCTGGGGAAATCTCAGGAAGGGCAGAGTGCAGGCATTGCCATCCAGAACTAATGTGTAGTCTTCCTCCTTGCTGCACTTGTCTGCCACTCCCGTCAGCCGCGTGCCCGTCCTTGGCCAACCGATACCCTCCTTAGGGCCCAAACTCGGAAGCTGCAGCTCACAGAGGAGATACCCCTCTCTCTGTTGTCCTGTGGGTATGACTGACTCCTGTGAGTAAGTCAACAAAAAAGGGCCTTTGGGCCTTATCCAAAAAGCCACAATCTTGTTAACTCTC